AATATAATATAATATAATATAATATAATATAATATAATATAATATAATATAATATAATATAATATAATATAATTTATTAAAATGTATAATATATATTATACAGTATATAAATATATATTTATATTTATAAATTGCCATATATAATTATAGATGCACATTTATTTTTATGTATGTATAGATATTTCTATATATATTTATGTACATAATATACAATAATATAATTATATAAATAGAATAATTCTATTATTAATAACATATTATTATTAATATAATCATTAAAAATACATTTTACATATATTTTTCTATTTAATGTATTTATATATTTCTACTAAAATTTACACTTATATTTATATTATTTATATTTTTAGGTTTTATTTTTATTTATTTATACATGCGCTTTACAGCCCCTCCGTCACCCTCACACACATTGCACAATTAAAGGCACCCTGAGAATGGCCCAGAAAACAACACCTGCAGCAACATCAAAGCCTGAATTCTTTGCTGGCAAAGATTTATGAAGAAGAACATCTGCACATGTTGGAAATTGTGAGCAGAACCTGAGAGGGGAAGCCCCAAAGTGCCAAATCCAAGAGCCCAATCCTCAGGAAATTGGCTCATGCCAGGTTCAGACCCACCTTTGCCCTCCAAAGGTCTCAAAGGGAGTCAGAGGAGATTCTCGGCCCCTGAGAGCACCCTGGTGGCAGAGGTTCTGTCCCCAGGTGCCAACGTCCCCTCTGTGTCACAGATCTGTCCCCAGGTGCCAATGTCCCCCCTGTACCAAGAGTTCTGTCCCCAGGTGCCAATGCCCTCCCTGTACCAAGGGTTCTGTCCCCAGGTGCCAATGTCCCCCTGTCCAGGCTGGTCCCATGTCCCCATCACAGCAGCACAGCAAAATTGGGTTTTGGGACAGCTCCTCAAATTCCTCCTCAAAAGACTCCTCAGAGCTTTCCCAGTCCCTGACAACACTGCAGGTTCAAGAGACACCCAGTTCTTTAATATTTTAATACATTAATAAAGGAAAAAAAGCAAAGCACACCCTGCCTGCCTGTTACCATGCAAAGCTCTGAAATGAGGACACAGATGATTTTTCAGATACTCTTTATCATCTCCTCCCTTTTTCATGTTGTTAATTTTTCTGCTCCTATTATTTCAGCAAGAGGCAGAGATAAGAAAGGTGCAGGGGGAGGGAAGGGGGGCGGCCTGGGGGCTGCAGGGATGCAGCTGGATCCCAGGGAAATTCCATTTTCCCTGATTTCCTGCCCGAGCTGAGGTGGCAGAAGGTGCTGGGCAGGACCAGGAGGGCACCCAGCTCTGTTCTGCCTGACCCACGCTATTCCACAGCCCTTCTCTGCTTTGCAAAAGCAAAAAAAAAAACCCCAAATCTGTTTGTTCCCACCCCATTCCAGGCTCTCTGGCAACACCTTGGGAATGAGAGAGGCTTTGGAACCTCCCCTGTTTCCCTTGCAGCCACTCACTGTCCCCAGAGCCGCACAAATATTGCTGCTACCTCCAGCTGAAATCAGCTGCCTCTCACAATTCCCTTCGGAGAACCTGCTTAAGAACAGATCAAGGAGGGGAAGTTTATAAAAAAGCAAACATTTACTGGCAGATTGAGGATTCCTCATCAGCCACTTGCTCTCTGAACCTTGCTCTGCCCCTGCTTATGGAACATTGTAGTTCAATTAAAACATCCCTGTGATAACGAGCCATTAGCATTTGAACAGGAGTTACATTTTCCCAGGAGAAACTCAGATTTGCAGACTTCAAGCAGCATGATTTTTCCTTTCCATGGATATATTACAGCATGCTACGTTTGCTTTTTGGTTTGTTTTTTATTTTTTTAATTCCTGCTCACTTGTGATCATTTCTTTCGGCCTTGCAAAATTCTGGGAGAGTTCTTGGACTGAATTTTCCTTTCAGAGGGAACTGGGAGCTGCTGGGGGGCCAAATCCAGGTGTTGTTATTCCATTTATTTGCCACAATCCCATCCTGAGCAGGGTGTTTCACCTGGAAGTGAAGGGACCCTTGGGGCAATCCCAAATGCAGGTGACCAGTGGGAGCACAGACAGGGAAATTCCCCATTTCCTTCTCCAAGGAAAGGAGGTTTTCCTCCTTTCTGCCTCCAGATGTGCTCTCCCCGAGCTGCAGGAGCTGCCTGTGCCATGGGATGCGATAAAGCTCCTGAAACTCATCCCAGATGTTTCCCCAGACCAGGCTGAACCTCAGTGTTGTCCTGGTGAGAGAGCTAAAGAATGCCAAATTACTTAAAAAAGCAGCGTACATAGAGTGATCTTCATTTTTTTTCAAATTTCAGGGATTTTTCATTGAATTACAGAATGGTTTGGGCTGGAAGGGACCTCAGAGCTCTTCCAGCGCCACCCCTGCCATGGCAGCGACACCTCCCTCTGTCCCAGGAAGATCAACACAGCTCCAAATCCCCAGCAGAGACTGAAACAGGGTGGAATTTCACTCCTGTTGCAAACAGGGAGAGAAATTACCAAAGAAAGGCCTCCTAAAATCAGGCCTGCTCTGTTAAATGAATATCCAGCCTGTCACTTCTCCTAAAGGCAGTTTGGAAGGTCTCTTATGAAAACGTCTTGAGAGATAAAGTTCATTGACACAAAAATCTATTCCTAGGGTGAAAAACAAGTGCACCCGGATAAGCAATAAGATCTGTCCTATGAGAATTAGTAGAAAAAAAATGGGTAAGCTAACGAAAAACACAGAAGTTTGATAGATATGCAAAATACCATGGACTGACCAATGAACTGAGTGGGAATTGTCAAACAAGAAGATCTGACAACAGAATAAGAATAAGAATAAGAATAAGAATAAGAATAAGAATAAGAATAAGAATAAGAATAAGAATAAGAATAAGAATAAGAATAATGATGATGATCATCATCCTATAAAATATGATCTACAGAATAAAGATTTGGCTTTTCCTGCATGAAGAAAAATGGAGTCCTGGCTCATTTATTACAAAATACTTTCTTCCCCCCCCCTCCTCTGGTTGCAAGAGAGCAGAGTGCTCTGCCTGCCACACAAAAAAAAAGGCAAATTCTTCAGGGCACGGAGCTCAGAGGGAACATTTCATTACAAAGGCATCCTACAGAAGTCACATATGGAACAACCTCGGCCACAAACTGCAATTACAAGCCCAGCTCTGCTTTAACAGAATTATTAGAGCTGAACTAAAATGCTGTTATCCACCTCTTGGAAATGTTATTACTGAGCCCAGATTACATCACCCTGAGAAGGGCAGACAGGGACTGGCGTGGACAGACTTTTGCAAGATGCACAGAGATGTGACCTCAGCCTGGCCACAAACTGCCCTGGGGAAAGGAGCCCTGCACCAAGGAGGAGCCCTCACATCCTCAGCACAGACACTGCCAGACAGATCTCTGCAGGAAAAGGGGAAAAATATTCATTTTTGGAGGATCCACAGCCTCTCTGCTTCTGATGCTGCTTATTTCTGATGAAGGGATTCTTTGGGGCAGTTCCCCACATGATAGAGCTGGAGTGATCTCCTTTTGGGGCTGTTTTACACACAACAGAGCTGGAGTGATCCTTCTGGGGCTGTTTTACACAAAACAGAGGTGGAGTTATCATTTTAGAGCTGGGAGTGATTCTTTTGGGGCTGTTCCCCACAAAACAGAGCTGCAGTGAACCTTTTGGGGCTGTTTTACACAGAGAAGAGCCGAGTCCAAGCCCAGGAACTGCCACAAGGGCTGGGAAGTGCTTGCAGAGTGCTCTGCACCATTCCCTGTCCTGCCACTCACACTGGGGCATCTTGGAATGCAAGGGGGGCTGAGCTCCACACCCAAACCTGCTTTGTGTGATTCGTCAAAAAGCTTTCAAAGTGACTTATAACATTGAGTTCCGGCTCTGCTGCCTGGGATGTGAGCTGATGGCATCTTCCCATTGTCATAACCATGTAATGAGACTGATGCTGGAAAATAAAACAGCTTGAGGCACATTCCACAGCAGCTTTGTCCTGTTTGTGATTTGTACAGAGACCCCAGCTAGGGGGGCCTGCACAGGTGTGACAGTGTACACAAAGGTGCTTAGATTGGGGAAGAGACAAGGATCTGACTCCATGTTTCAGAAGGCTGATTTATTATTTTATCATATATATTACATTAAAACTATACTAAAAGAATAGAAGAAAATGTTTCATTAGAAGGCTGGCTAAGAATATAATAGGAAAGAAGGAATGACAACATAAGATTGTGGCTCGGACTCTCTGTCTGAGACAGGTGACTGTAATTGGCCATTAATTAGAAACAACCACATGAGACCAATCACAGATCCACCTGTTGCATTCCACAGCAGCAGATAATCAATGCTTACATTTTGTTCCTGAGGCCTCCCAGCTTCTCAGGAGGAAAAATCCCAAGGAAAGGATTTTTCATAAAAGATGTCTGTGACACACAGGGTGCCCAGAGAAGCTGTGGCTGCTCCACCCTTAGAATTCTGAACACCCCAGTAACTTTTGTTGGGGTCAGATGGGCAGGAATAGAACAGGGAGCCATGCCCAGAGCACACTGGAGGAATCTGCTGGCCCAGCCTCTCCTTTAATAAGATTCAATGAGCCCTCTCTGTTGTCATTTTATTGCAGACATTCCACACAGTTGTCTCCTATCACAAAAGTTTCACATCTCCTTGGGGTTTCTGGTGGGCAGCTCTCAGACCACTAACTCTTTCTTCATGACCAAGTGACTCCAGCTCCCTTCTCACCATCCCACTCTTTTATAGCATCTTTTTCTCATTGCTCACAGCTGTGGCCTGTTAAAGCCAGGCCTACTCCCAATCTTTGATAATTGGCCCAGCTGCAGCTCCTTAG